GGAGAGTCTAACACCAAAAAATTATCATTGAAGTCTAAATCATCGTCACTGTCAATTTCTAAATTGTAGCTAAAAGCAACGTCCAAAAAGGATCGATCTTAATAAAGAAGACAATGATAAAATTTTAGCGGTTTCTAGCCGATTTAATGATTTTTTTTCCTGAAACAAAAAAAAGGAATTTAATAAATTTTTCGTCTTTTAAAGCATTCTTTCCTCTTGGATTTGAATTTTATCCAAGTGCATTTCTTCTTCATATTTATCGTATCAAAAGATATTACATGGTATATTGATGATGAAATTTTGACCTATCTTTGTCCATGTTTGTCGTTATTATTGTTATTGTGATTTCTTTTGGATCTGGATATCTGAAAAATTAATGTTTTTCAGTTCATTATGATATTGTCGGCGGAACACAACTGCATCCATCTTCAATCAGTGTATCCTTCGCCTTCGCCAGTGAGTCAGTAAAGAAACCTAAATAGTCTCAATAAAAAGAATTTTGTCCATTGCTTTACGCAAAGAGAGAAGACCGATGGTCCAGACCGATCCACCGTTTGAACCGAAAAAATGGCTCATGAACAAACTGAAGCTGACCGTAACGTCTCTAGAGTTGATTGTATCCAAAGTTAACGCTGACTACCTGACGGAACCAAGTAAGAATTTATTTGGGCATTCTCGATCAACAGATCAAAACAAAGGGATTCAAAAAACGTCAGCATAAGGAATAGTTTATTGAAGGGATGTAAAATTACGTTAAAAAATATAAATTTAGTAGGAGAATACAAACACATCTTCAAGACAGTTTTGTAAGTACCACTTGCTGCACTTTCAATCAACAGGTTTACGATTCTTGTGATGTACGAGATTTTCCTTCTCCTACCCCGCTCCAGCTATAATGAAATATTCCAATATACTTGTCTTGTTCAAATTTCCACTCGTAATGCTCATGAATAGTTTCCTTGAATGTCTCTTCAAAGCATTGGAAGTTCGAAAGCTCCAAGAACCACTAGCACTGAGAGGAGGCTGGGAACTACGAAACTCTATATGAAAATAAAAAGTTTCAGAAACGTGGAGGACAATAAGTAGATGTTTATGAAATAAAATAATGGAGAATAGACTACCTGAGATGAAGTCGCTCGAATACGTTGGTAAAGAATTATTTAAAATTAGTCATGAAACTCGACAATGTTACAAACAGTAAACAAAACGTTCCCTCAAATAGATGGGTGGATAAACGGGATGGAATAAATAGAAAACCTACTTGAGACACTTTTAATGTAGTCCCAAGAGAAATGGTGAATACAAAAAGGTACAAGTTCGTCGTAAACAATATATCAAACGTTTCCTCAAATAGATAGATGGAATGATGGATAGAAAACATTTGTACGCTATGCTTTATTTATCCAACGCCTATATTCCTCAAATAAAATATAACATACCTTGTTGTTGCAGTTGGAACAACTGTTGAGCAGCTGACAGTGTAGCTTCAGCTGCAACTTTTTTGTTGGAGAAGAGGAAGAAAAAGGTGTCTGCTCTTCTAGATTTAAATAACTGTCTGAAAGCGACGTTATTTCTTCCGTTTCCCTAAGAGCGACAATATTTTAACCATGGGTTTTTGTGGCCGGACAGTCAAATAATTATATCGTAGTATACGAAAGCGTTGCGGACCTTATTTCCGTGCATTCTATTTTGGAAGATTTTAAATTTAAGTACGCTGTATTTGCATGCAGTCCACCCATCCTGCCAATCAATTTTGAAAAATCATTAATACAGTAAATCAGATCTCGATTTACCGAATCAAACTTCAAATGTTAAATCAAGAGAAATCGCTAAATTTCAATATACTGTCGTTCCTCATTATAATCACAGGATTGGGAAACGGAAATATGGTGACTATAAGAAGGTGTGACTATATGGAGGTCAAATTTCTTATACTTATAATAGCAGGGACTGGAAAGAGTGTGACTAACGATATGCGACTGTAGTGATCTGGGAACAAGAGCCGCTAACTCGCAATTTCATTAAATCGCATCGAGGTTTGACAGTGTCACGAAATTTATTATGGCAGCATCGTATGTGAACAAACCAACAAACATGATGAGTGCTACTTAAATCAGTTAGTAAATTTATTAAAATGACGGCTTCGCTTCTTGCACAACTACATCAAGCGCTTATCTTGTGAGCTGAAGCATTCAAAAAATAAAATCGAGAACGTCTCCCATAACAGATGACTCATCATACTATCGTTGCCATCGCAGCATCTGTGGAATATTCTACAGCCGCGTATATCAAGTAACATATCTAATTGATTGGATCAGTACGTAGTAAGTACAGAAATTGGTATATTGTTGCTCCGGCAGATATTTAGGGGTAGGAATCGATTCTCTAGAATCGATTAATTTAGAATCGATTCTTCGAATAGACTAATTCTGTAGAATCGAGAAGCGATTAAAATTTGAGACAAAGTATGATTTCAACTAATCAAAGTGCAACTTCAACTATTCCAACCAAAAAGAAATCAACATGCAATGATGTCATCGCTTGCTGTTGTCATCGTCATTGTCCTCGTAATTTGTCCTCAAGAATCGATTTTGGGTTGAGAATCGATTCATGTATCTTGCCATCAAACTGAAAAATTGATCGTTATGATACTATGCACGATAAAATATTAAAAGAGCTTGAAAAAATTAAAAAAGTATCAATTACACATGATAGTTGGAGTTCAATTACTATGCAATCATATCTTGGTATGCCAGTTCACTTTGTTAATGAAGAGTGAAAGTCACTTTTGCTCGATCTTCATCACTTTCCTAGACTGCTACATATACAGTCCCCCAGAAAGTAATTGCCGGCGGTTTTTTTATTATAATTTTTTTTACATAATAATATAATTTAAAATTTTATTTTTCTAATATATAAGTAAGACTTTATATTCTAGAATATTAATATAATTTTTTTATTTTTTTTAATAATTTATTTATTAAAAATTTCCAAAAAAGATTAATTTTTTAAATATTTTAATAAATAATTAGTGTTTTATGCTGATTTTTTGGAATTAGCTAGATATAAATTGGGGAAACAATTTTTTAGTGGGCAAAAACTAATTTCATAATGTAGTTTCGAATTATCAAGCTTTTTTTAGTGGCAACCCCAGCCGATCGATCTACAGTTACCATAAAAATTTCAGGGAAGTAAACATTTTCTGCGACTTTTAATGTTAATTTAAACGTCAATCGGCCATTACTTTCGGGACTGTATTCAACAAATTATTATGCAAGTATTAGAAAAGGCTTAATTTACTGAAAAGTTGTTAGGGATCATGATGGATAATGCAACATCTATAATAGCTGCAACTTGAGTACTTAAAGAAAGCTGAGAAATACTGAATTTATCTATCAACATTGTTCAGTACATTATACTTATCATTGCTATACAACATAGATTACAATTAGTACGACCTAATGTTATAGAATTAGTTATAATATTCTTAATTCAGGAAATCATGATTAATATGTTATCATGTAATAATGTGATTGTAGTTGTAGTTGTTATGAGTGTGATTGTCTTTATATTTATTAGTTATTAGTATAAGTTCCATTTTTATAGTTAATCTTTTAGTAGCTAATTATTTATTAGCTTTTTGATATATATTTTTGTAAATAACAAATTTTATAAATAGAAGCTTTTCACTAAAACAAAAAAAAGCTCTTTTTAAATTATCAAATAAAAATAAAGATTGTTAATAAAGCATCTTCTCTTATTTGCCTTTGATTGACTTCAAAAGTTTGCATATAAACTTTACAGTAGAAGACCTCTACTTTAAATAAGCCATTCTTTTAAACTTGATTAAATTGTGAACTGATTTGATTATTGATCCTGTACAGGCCATATCAATAAGTCCTGTGACTCATAATTAACGATTGATTTTGATATTATTTATTTGGACAGTCTCAATAAGTCCTGATGTTTTGTTTTGTTTCTTGTTTTAGTTTTTCTTGAAGGAAATCTCAATAATCCCTTCGATTATTATTGTTAATTAAGCCTTTTAAATTCTTGTTATTACGTTGATCAGTTTGTGTACAAATTGCCACAGAAGACCTCTAGAATCATAAAGAAACCCTTTATTACATAAATTATTCAGTCTAACTTCTAACTGACAAAATGTAACAATATTTCCTGCAAATTTACAATTACAAGGCAAACGATTATTTTTGAATCACTTCTTATGGAGCAAACTGCCAAAGTAATATCTGCTGAAGATAAAATTACTCGATACATTGCAACACCAATTAACTCTGACTCAGATCCATTAGATTGATGGCACTGTTTTAAGGGAGATTTTCCTGTTATTGCAAGTATGACATTCTGTTATTTGAGTATACAAGGTTCAAGTGTACTCTCAGAACAGGGCATTTTCTATGGCAGCAAAATACGATAACCAAAATTCGATTCAACTTAAAACCAGTTACAGTACATGCAATAATGTGTTTAAAAAGTTGGATATAAAAGAAATCAATATTGAAGCTTCTATTTTTTATCACTTATAAATTTCTTATCTTTTTTATTTTTGAAATGTGAGTATTAATAAAAGTATTTTATATAGATTTTATCCAATCAAATTAATTACATGTGACTTTTATAAATGCTCCGGAGTAGCTGGAGCAGTATTGGAGCAAAACCCGAAACAATGAACCCGGAGCAGGTTCAATTTGATTGACCCACTATAATATGAACCCAATTCACTCCGCTCCGCTCCATTAAAATTCTATCCATGTATATTACAATCTATCTACGAAAATTCCATGTATATTTTAACAATGTTCAACAAAAGTTCATGCATATTTACAAGCCCATTGTTAATTCCATTCCATAAGGATTAAATAAAATCATTTGACCAATGACATAGATTCGTGATATTATGTTAATGTCGCAATTATGTTAATGTCATGATGTAAAATGCGTCGTAATGATATTTGCAACGAATTAATGATTCAAGGAGAATGTTTGGACAAAATTAATGATGCGATGTTTGCGACGAAATTAATGAGTTAAGGGGAAATGGGAATTATCAAACTAAAGAACTTTAATTAAGTACGATGCTTTAATGCTATATACAAAAAATTCAGATATTGCCCCCAACTATCGCAGCAAGCAGTCTCAACCAAATTATTGAAGTGGTCGAGTCTTTATGTTTTAATGAAATAATATGCAGCTTAGTTCATATGAATGTATACGGCGAAGTCAATAAAAGGAATGGATATAGAAAATTTATGTTTGTAAAAGGAATGACTTATCCATTTGTATTTTAATAAGAGATAATTGAAAAGAAAAATCTATCTACGAAAAGTCCATGTATATTTATGAAAAGTTCATGTATATTACAATCTATCTACGAAAAGTCCGTGTATATTTATAACAATGTTCAAAAATTATTTACAAAAGTTCATGTATATTTACAAGCCCATTGTTAATTCCATTCCATAAGGATTGAATAAAATCATTTGACCAATGATTTTATATTCGTGATGTCATAATGTTAATTAATGTCATGATGTCAATGTCGTATAATCTTAATGCCGTAATGATATTAGTGCCGTAATTATGTTGATGCCGTAACATCCCACGAAGGGAAGGTAACGATATTAATGCCGCAATGATGTTGAACGTTTTGGAAAAACTTGTGTCTTTCAAATATTTTAAACTTTTGCAACGAAATTAGTGATTTAAGGGGAAATACATGTACGTACGATGTTTTTGACAAAATTAATGATACGATGATGCGATGTTTGCGGCGAGATTAATGAGTGAAGGGAAAATACAATGTTAAAGGGAATTACTAAACGAAAGTACTTTAATAAAGTACGATGCTTTAATGCTATATACAAAAGTTCAGCTATACTGCTCCAACCATCGCAGCAAGCAGTCTCAACCAAACCATTGAAGCGTCGAGTCCCTCATGTTTAATGAAATAGTATGCAGTTTAGTTCATATGAATGTATACGGCGAAGTCAATGAAAGGAATGGATATAGAAATGAGAATTATTGTGTTTCATAAAAGGAATGACTTATGCATTTGTATTTCTAATAAAATAATTGAAAAGAAATTTATGCGTTTTTTGCTGGTGTGAGTTTCTTTTATATTGTTTTTGACTAAACAGATTATATAAGAATAGTAAGGAAAAAAACCACGTAAAGTAGATCGTTAGACAATCGACAAAAACAAATGATTATTTACTTAATTATATATTAGATAATTAAAGCTATGTATGATAACAAATATTGAGGGCGCCTCTATATAAAGTATGTATTGATCAGAGAAATTTTCTCTTATGTGTGAGTGTGATAAGAGGAGAAAAAGAAAAGTATGCGTGTGAGTGTGTTGAGAGGGGAAAAATGTTGTTTGACAGCTGATTACTACGAAGTCATATCACTTATTCTTATTGTTAGTGTATAAATTATTTGTAATAAAAATTATTGCTTATGGGAACGAGTTGTATTAATTAGATCATCGATTAGAGTAAATTTTTATCAAACATCATACAATCATATATCAGCTTAACCCTATATACATGGTTTGATATAAAAATTATACAAACTGTAATTTATATGTTTTATATGTAATGATTATCGTTATTAAATACATGTACTTGTGTAAATCATTGCCGTTAGTGACACATGATTTCCAAAGAAGCCATTACATTTTTTTTAATGAGTGTAAAAGGCAAAATTGTTTCTTGCTTGGTAACATTCTTGTTAAATCAGTTTCCTTTTTACATATCTCAATTTCTTTACATAACTCAAATGCATTTAATGAATCATCAGATCTGCTTTATAAAAAAATATACTATAGTTTTTTTCCTCAAGATAATAATAATTCTTTGTAGTAAAACAAGTCGATTAGAGTAAATTTTTTATTAAATCAATCGTACATCAGTTTATATATGTCCGTGTGCATAGCGTTTTATCCGGGACATGTTTGGTGATAACAGTCATAGTATTAGTTCGAATATATACATGTATATCCTATAATTTGTTGTCACTAGACCTGTCGAACAAGTGACCGGACAAAATCCAATGTAGGTATTTTGTTTGAATTGATTTCCTATGATTAACATGTTCGGACAAAACTCTATATACATGGCTTATAATAAACATTGACTATCAATAATTATTAATGTTGTTGAATAATTATCATATATTTGGAAAAGGGAGATAATGGATCAGAAAAAACCAATACGCGTGTGTGAAAGACGAATCACTTTGGAACGAATATATATAAGTGACTCGTCGCGGTAGAAGTTGTTTTTTTCGAAGATAAAATATAATCCTCGAAATAAAATCGTAATAATATAATCATCGTTAAAATTATAATAAATACTCGTCAAACTTACATATCTTTCCCTGATCTAGTGAACTATTTTTCAAATCCGAACCGTTTCGCCCTAAAGTCCGAAGCTATCTGAAACCCTAATTTGCAGATCAAATTGGGCGAAACTAGTTTCGCCCGAAACACTACCCTGATATATTCTTAAATACACGCTAATTGAGTAATTTTTTATTAAATCGAGTTATTCTATATTGAGATGCTAATTGCTAATTTAATAAAATTCATCGAAGATTTTGACGAGTACAACTGATCGAATAATATGACACGCGTGACCAAAATGGATTATGAATCATACACGAGTCTCTTTGTTTTTATCTCAATCACTTCCGTGATTTGATACATACTTTCTACTTCGTTTCTCAAACATGACTTCCCAGTGTGATGAGTTTTTTTTCAAAATTTATGTTATATAAATCCAACGTGTATTATTTAAAACTCTGTTCGGGTCGGGTTTGATCCGAAAATCGTGAAATAGTTTTTCGTTAATAGCTTTTATTTTTACTAAGACACTTGTTTTAAGTAGAGTTATCCGTGATGTAATTGTGCATATATCTAGAAATGTTTTTTCAATTTGAATTAATATTGAACGAGAATTAACGATTTTTAGTCTGATCCAAAATATTCGGGTCAGGTTTGACACCAACCCGACCCGATTGGAGTACTAGTATTATTCTGATCATCACAGTAAATCTACTCTAAGTCGAACTTTCCCTGAGACAAAAAAAATTTTGCTGCTCAAATCATAAAGAAAATCCTCCTTAAATCTTCTAAATTAAAACCTAGTACCGAGCTAGTCAACTTAAAGAGGTTTATTTTATATATCCTAGGACATGCCCATATACATATAGTTTTGACCGGGACATGTTTATCGAAATGTCTTGGAATGGTATATTGGTGGATTAATATGAATTAAGCATCTTTTAGCCGATATTAATCTTACCCCTTTCTTTAAAAATAATATAATTAGAAAACTTATATATTTATATATATTAAAAGTGGAATTGAATACAATATAACCCAGTTTGTCCACTCCTCCGCCTTAAAAGCATTAGAATATTGGAGTATATCAACCAACGGACGTCCAAACTTGTATGGCATGTTTTTTGATTTTTTTCAATAATACTTCTGATTAATTATAGTAAATTTGCTAAAAATATTTTGGTTATTAATAAAATAAATTTGAAATTAAATAGCAAATAATTCAAAATGCATCAAAAATATATAGTAATGATCAAAAGTAATACAATATATAATTGAAAATTGTTGAATTGTGATATCTTTTCGGTACTGTATCGCCACATATTCGGTCTGGTATGGTCTAAAATATGATGCCTTTTAGAAAAGGGTTAGATATGGATTCAGGTACAGGAGAAGGTAATAAATCTTGAATACTCTTCACATAATTTAACCAAGAATACACAGTATGATGCAACTAAACTCTATAACCATAATCTGAATCTATGCCTTAGTACCAAAATGTGAGGTGATACAGTACCGAAAATCTTTATGCATGTTCATGGGTATTTTGTTTAAGGACATGTTCTTTCTTCCTATGACTGTTGTTACTAAACATGTTCGGACAAATCCTCGGACAAAACCATGTGTTTTCGTAATCTGATTAGTGAGTTGGCTATTTTACTATAAGATCATTTGACTCTTTAAAAAAGTTTACCATTACTATCAATTTGATTTATGTGTAATTTAAACCCTTGTATGTTGTATCGAAGCCAAATTACTGCAATTGGCAAAAGATCAAACATTAAAATGTGATGTAATCTAAACGTATTTTCGTGGATATTATTGATAAGTGATCTACTAGTGCGATTCATGCAATTTAACAGACTAAACAATATTTTATCCAACTCAATTGTAGTAGCGACCCTGGAAAAATTCTCAACATTTTCACATCTCCCAACTTTCTATTTCAATCCAAACTCTGCTTCCTTCGTCTGTTTTTTATTTTCAAAGTGAGCAAAGTATGGGAAAAAGTATAAGCTGAGTTATTCTACTAAGACAAAATACACAACTAGTACAACATTTCTGACTTATTCTTTGCCTTTATTGCTAACTTATACATAAAATAAGTCAGTGGTTTGAAATGTTAAAAATTTTGACTTGTCTTTATTTAGTTTGAAACTTTTTTTGTCTTTAACATTTATTTCGTGTTAGCTTCATTTCTCCTTCTTTAAATCACTTCTCGTACAACTTTTAGCAGCAAAATACATGTACATGTATATCGATAAATTATTGCTGCGGTTATAATCGTTATTGTGCAACACCAGATTTTTATTGATCACGTGTCTTTATCAAGGTTGACGATTAACGTTAGGAATAATAGTTGATAAGGTATTACTACTTATCGGATATAGCATCGTTGTCGTTATAATCTTGAACGAAATTTTGTAATATTATTTGTCTTTTACAACAATTGTTGAAGATGCAGCAGGTAATACTTGATCAAATTCGATGTTTTTACTTCTCAATCAAACTCAGATTCACATCTAAACGTTCATTTATTCGAATTAATAGTTTTATCGAGAACAAATATGCAATCATCAAACGAAAAAACACGCGACACGTTTGAAGATTCTTCAGCGGTGATCCCGTCAAACACAGAAGCATCAAATGAGAATAAATATAACTTACCAAAAGACGCCTCAACTAATATCACATCACAAGAAGCAACAACTGAGAAAAGACCAAATGATCTGGATGTTACTATTGTATCAAACGCGATTACAAAATCCTCTTCATCAAATGGAAAAGGGTCATATTTATCAAAATACTCTTCCATTGCATATACCGTTACAAAAGCAACAAAAGTTGGCCGAGAAGCATCAGCTGCATTCGTATCAAATACAAATACGCAATCAATATCAAATCAGATAGAAACACCGGCAGAAGTGTCATTAGATACAGACACAGATACACCGGCAACCGAAAAAGAAGCTGATTTTCAAAAATCTTCAGTTACAGGCAAAATTGACGTGAATATACCAAATATTAATAAAAGTGATTTACCAGAAAAATTAGCAGCAACGGTTTTGAACCTCGAAATACGAGAATCATCAAATGAAACTAAATCACTTGAAGATCCTACAGTCGTTATTGCACAAGATACAGAAATTTCAAATGAAAACGATCTCGAATCACCTGAAAACTTGACGTTTGGTTTGGTAGATTCGATAAATGAACCAGGACCGGATTTTTCTGAGGACTCATCGGTCGATGAAGCATCGAACTCGAATGTGAAAACTTTATTAAACAAACCGCATTTACTTGATAATCAATCATTAATCAGTAAAGAGGAAATTGATTCACATGAAGACTGGTTTATTGAGAACACGTCGGATATAGAATTACATGAAACACGAGCACTACTTTCTGTTAAAAAAGAACCAGAGTTTACTCAAGAACCTTCAACTGCGAAGGAATCAGATATAGAAATGGACGAACTACTGATTGAAAAGGAAACCAATTTCTTGAAGACTCGTCAGTTGCTATCATGTCGGATCCGAGTATCCAATCATCGCCAATAAATGCGTCAATTAACGTGTATCCGTCATTAATAGAAAGTGAGGATTCAACTTCGATTTCACTCTCTCAAATTAATGCGTTAATCGCTGACTCAGATCGTGTCGAGATGAACACTGCAAATTTTATTCCCATTTCTCCATCACAAGATGAAAGATTTGTAGAATCAAGGTCAGCGGAAATCAGTACCGAATTGAATAATGAACAAGAATCTGATCCGGTTGTCGGAAAATCCGAAATTTCAGTATCCGATACGCGTTCTTGCATAGACAGATCGAGTAATTTCTCCACCCATCCAAATTCTCCAAATCTCCATAATATTCCTTATTCGACCCTCTTAATGGACTCTCCCGTTGATATTTTGAGAAATTCAAGTTCTTTTTCACATTCGGAATCACCAATATTAATAAATTTAAAAACGTTTTTGGATATTATCCCATCGATGGAATCGAAGTACAATCAACAGTTATCATCAACTACGTCCGAAACATTCAATACACAAATTGAATCACCTAAGGCCTCCGACTCAGTTGAGGACAATGGGATTTCCTCACACAAGAGTCCAAACGACACAATTTTACGTAATATCGCTCATAAATATTTCCCTCCAGAACGTAATCTTTCTGAATCATTATCAATCTGTCAACAAAGTGCCAATTTGTTTGAATTTCGATCTTGTATCCGCGAAAGCAATTCGATTATCTTAGCTGAGAATGACGCAACGAAGCCATCTAGAGTTTCGATAGAACAGAAAGATCGTACTGCATTATCGGAATGTGGGAACTTTTGAGGCGCTAAACCTTCTAGATGGCTATATGTCTCTAACGTGCCGAAAAATACTGATCGACGCGCATTAATTAATCTATTATGGGTAAAAAATTTTTTATATCTGTTTCAAATATAAATATAGTAATTAATTAATCCATAAATAGGCTCAAGGAGACGTAAACAATGTACTTGTTGGACTCTTGGACTCTGAAGGACTTGTCTATATAATATACTATGACATTATAGATGCAATGAAAGCGCGTAAAGTACTTCAAGGATACCTACTAGGTGATAGCTATTTGAAGGCTGAATTTTGTTCTAAACCATTCTCCAAGAAGGTAATAAAAGTTTTTCAATTAGCTTATCAAGTAATAAATTAATTACATTTCATATATACTTTTAGGCAACTGACCTGGACGACTTAGCACAATGGGAATGGGATAACGACGGAATAATTTTGTTAAATGTCCTTGGAAGAAGACTAGAGGAGCCCAGAATAAAAGTAGGTACATGTATACATCTAATATGAAGTAGCATGCTATCAAGTTTTCACGTGACTCAAATAATTAATTTTTCTTTTAGTGCGAATTCAGCATATACGGAAATATATTATCAGTAAAGCCTCTTACTTCGGAAAATTCTGAACGAATGCTGATTGAATATTATGACACTCGCGATGCAAATGATGCCAAAAAAATAGCAAACAATAAATTACTTCGCGTAATTAGTCTTTTTTAATTAACATGAAAACTTATTTTATTTAGATTAAGTTCTGAACCTGTGTTTCTTTCTCTAAAATATACAGAATGCGACGTTGAAGGTCGAATACTATAATCACGAAGTATATTCTTGGAGAGCGATCAACAAGCTATCTAGCGAAGAAACCTATGATACGTCATCGTGCGAGACATCTCCTGATTGCGGGCCAAATGCGACCAGACAAACTAAAGTTCGTCAAAACAATAGCATCAACAACAACAGTATCATCGCATCTGGAAACCGTACAATTGCTGCTCACAATGCAATTGATGCTGCGAAAATAGCACGAGGCAAGATATAATTTCTTATTTATTTGCGCTCGTTTTCCTAATTGCTAAAATCTACATATATGCTCGTTCTTAGGTGAGGATGGAAGGACAACATTCATGATAAGAAATATCCCAAATAAATACACTCAGGTATATATTTCTTCTAGTTCTGAATAGGAAATTCATCAAATACTTACTTTATTTATATTTTTATTAATAGCGAATGTTGTTGGAGACCCTCGACGCGACCCACAAAGGGCAGTACGATTTTATATATTTAAGAATAGACTTCAAAAATCGCTGTAATGTGGGGTACGCATTTATTAACTTTGTTGATACCAAGTAAGTTTATTTAAAAAAAACATCGATTAATTAGGAATAGCATTTTTCAATCTAATACTTATTTTTAAAATTTTTCAATAATAGCGCGGTTCTCTCGTTCATCGAGAACCGCGTTGGTAAAAAATGGGACCATTTTAATTCGGACAAGGTGTGCGAGCTCTCGTATGCTAACATACAGAGCAAGCACGCATTGATCGAAAAATTCCGAAACAGCAGGTAAATAATATTCATTCTCTTTTTTCAACTTGGACTGATTTAATTATTAATTGTTTTGTCTTCAATAGCGTGATGAGGGAGACGCCGGAATACCGGCCAAAAATCTTCTTCTCTTATGGGAGCTTGAGTGGGGTGGAACAACCATTCCATCCTTCCCGATGATCTCATAAGGGAAGAAGATTTTTATTTTTAATTTTTATATAAAAATGTAAAAAATAAAATCCAAAAATTACATCACGCTGACTACATATGCTATCGACCTTTGATTTAATGTCAATCTTTATAAGAACAACTCTAGATAAGAACTGGATTTCTGGTCCAATCATATAAAGAATTTGTTATACGTATATTGATAATAATCATAACGTGGGTTATTTGCTTTAGTATGCTCCAATCAACAACCTTAGTCTCTAAAAACCCAAAATTTCTGAAGTTAGAATGTCACTAATTTTTAAGTTATGTGTGAAGTGTACTAAAACTCTGTTCGGGTCGGGTCGGATCAACCCGAACCAATAATTTCGGGTCGGGTCGGATTTGGATCGGGTTTGATCCAAAAATCGTAAATAATTTTTTGTTAATAACTTTTATTTTTACTAAGACACTTGTATTTTATGTCTAAGTAGAGCTGTTCAGAATGTAATTGTATATATGCCCACAAATTTTCATTTAATTTCAATTAATATTGAATGAAAAATAATGACTTTTAGGCTGACCTGACCTGAAATGTGTGTTTTGGATAGGTTACAAATTAGATCGGATTTGAGGTTAATCTGAACTGATAATTTTGAATCAGGTCAAATTTGGATTGGGTTTAATCTTATATACCTTGAATTAAGTACTTATAAGAATTGAATCAAAAACATTCTTTCAAATATTTCTGGAACTTATTATATTTGAAAAGATAACTAAGAAACTTCAAAGTATAAATTGAATGAGCAATATATTTGTCATTGTTCTGAAAATTCACTATAGCTGGTATAATGGAACAAGCTATTATAGTCAATCTTGTTTTATTCAAAAGTCATCAAAAATATTAGATTGCAAATTCTACTTACAGATATTAAAATATTATAATAAGAAAGAAAATGCAATTTACATTATTCATTATATATTTTATAATAGACATACTCTGGATACTGATGAAGATTTATGATATTTTTGTATATTCCAACAAGTAAAAAAATGAATCTGTACAAGAGCAAAAGATGAAATGAAATCTTTTCAAATCATATCAATGTTTTACCAGTGTATCAATCAACTTTATAATATTAAAAACTTGAATTCTTTATCTTTGAGACAAAAATACAATATATATCTTTCTTATATTAATATATATAATATTATTAATGAGAAAATGAAAGATATAATCTTTTTAGATAATAAAAAAAATAGTTACAAAGAAAATATATATGTTAATGAATGGATTGCTTTGTCAAAGATGAATTCTATACCTATAATAACTCAACTTGAGGCTTGTTTCTGAATTTTATATATGGATTTCAAATAGAATTTCAAAAAAATGATAAAATCAAAAAGTGCACAAACTATTTGATTGGATGATATACATGGAACAATATTATATAAAATGAATTTTTTTTATCTTGCTTATACAAGATGATGAAGATGGACAAAATGTATCTGTAGCACATCTAATATTAGAAAAAAATCTGGAGAGATATTAATTTTTTGATTTGAGACTATTAAAAATCGAAACCAAGAATGGAAATCTCATATCTTTCTAACCAATTGTGATGATGCATAGCAAAATACTATTTATACAGTATATCCTGAAGCTAAAATTATACTGTGCCAATGATATATAAAAAATGCTTGGCAAAAAAATAAAAACAAACTTAAAGCTGATGATAATTATTTTAGAGCTCAAGAAGCAAATGAAAATAATAATATATTTAAATGATCAAAAAAACAAGTAACTCAAAAAGTAGTACTGGATGAACTTGATACTATAATGTGAATTCAAGATAATTCTCATATTCAAAGCAAATTTGAAAAATATTTGCACAATGAACAATCTTTGATGAAACTAAATGGATAAAATATATAAAAAATGAATATCAAAAAAATTGTAAAAAGTGGATTGATGCTTACTATTTATATGAGCATCAGGAAATGAATACGACAAATTTTATTGAATCTTGGCATAAAAATTAAAATATACTTATCTGGAAGCTAAACATAATCATCTAATAGATACTTTAATTTGAACTTTGCGAGCTACTTTAACAAATGCGGAATTTGAGTGTGAAACTATTCATTTAATGATTGGAAGAATGAAGTCTCGACAAAAAGATCAATGATATTGTGAACTTGCTGATCTGGATCTTGATATTTTCAACTTGTCTGACAATCGATATTACCTTGTAAAGGGAATCGCTAAAGCAAGGCAAGTCATTTAGTCATATACCAGCCACATTTGATCACCATAATGTGACTTATCACGTAAAATTTTGATCTAAAAACTTGATTGGTCCATCATAATTGTCATTAGAATTCTCACCAATGGATGAACACATAAAATACCCGGGTCTAAATCAATTTTAGCAAGAGTAAATGCTTGTGTACCCTGGAGAGTACTGTGTATAGTGATGAGTACATAACAAGAAGGGTACACAACGACAAGAAGGAAAGAGGGATGGCATATATTTAGAAAGGATTAACTAACACTTTTAAAAAAGGAAAATATATATTTGACTTATACACTTTTTCAAGTTAATTATAATAATGTATGAATTAAATAGTTAGTTTTTTTTAGTTTCAATAAATTCAAATTCATATTAAGATATAATAGATCCAGGTCTGAATCAATTTTTTTAATGCAATGTTATGATACATACCCAGGTATAATATATGGAGGATTTTTTACTGAGAGGGTATTTTATACAGTAATATACAGTATACAAGTGTGATAGATTGGAATAATTAACCAAAATATAAGAAACTAATAAACTATAAAATTATTTTTTAAGGGAATGTTGAATTGTTATAAACGCAACTCTATTTCTCTATACACATTCTTTTTACACGCAAGTATGACGAATTACTATAAGTGATTCATCTTTTATTATCTATTCCCACTATTTATGTACAATAACCTGCAAAAGTATCCAACCACCTATAACTTGGATCAAAGATAAAATAATTCGTTTTTCTTTTTTTATTTTAAAATATATAATATTTCCTGATAAATAATAATACATCATATAATCTCTCTCTGCTAAGGATGCTTGCCTAAATCCTTTCAGAAAAATATCGTCATAATTTCGACGGGTTACACACTAATTGTTAATTAGAATTTTGACATAATTTCAGTTACGACGGATTTCAAAATTCGTCAGAATTTTGACGAGTTATTTACTAATAGTTTATTATAATTTCGACAGAATTTAGACAGTCACTAAGGGATTTCAGCAAGCAACCTTACCCTCTGCTTCAATTACTGCCTCAATCCAATTTTTCATACTATCAACTAATTTGGCAGCAAGATCATTAGGTAAGCGATTCCATTCTTTTACTAATTCACTTTTTAATTCTTTAAGCGTTCTAATTTTTTTTTCGATATTTTAATTTTTATTAATCTCCAAATGTTCTCAATAAGATTTTGGCTGGATGACATCGATGATCAGGGGAGTACCTCGACGTTATTTTTCTTCTTCCAACTACCAACCAATTTCGATCGATGTTTCAGATCATTATCTTCTTGCAAAATCCATTCTACATAATCCTCCCCAAAAAGCTTCTCAACGGATGGTAAAAGACCCCTCTCATAAACCATAATCATAAATTTAGCATTAAGATTACGCTGGAAACAAACCAACTTACCAAAACCTAAAGCTGAAAAACAGCCCCATACATTAATTTTTAACAGATGCTTTACAGAATGAAATAATTTTTTTCTTTCTGAAAACTGCCAGATCTTTTTTTGCATGTTGATTTAATCGAAATGTACTCTCATCTGAAAAAATTACTTTGTCCCAATTGAAATTTATATGATTTTTCGCCCACTGTAGCCGTTTTTTCTTATGGGAACTGGTAAGTAAAGGTTTTGATAATTTGCTCATATATCTTCATGTAAATGCCATTCAATAGTATCCACACTAACGTTTATTTTTTGTTTTTTCATTTTCTGTTGTATTTCAATTGCAGTTATATCAGTGTTTTTTTTGCCAGCTCCATGATTGTTTCATCTTGTTTTGGAGTTGTAATTTGTTTCCAGCCGGATTTTGGTTGATCGTTTAAATCCTTTGTTTTCTTCCACCTTTTAACCCAATAAATTACCATAGTTCTATTACAATAAACATATTTACTGTATCTAAGATTTAGTTTCAGATCTTTAGGATGTATATATAAAAAAATGATTTCATCATTTGTCGATTGAGACATTGTTTATGAATAGATATTTAACGAACATACAATGCTTGATATAGAAATTTTAAAAGATGTAGGTGATCAGTGTTTGCATTGTTTTTTGTGTTCAGAAAATCTTCGGGTGTTAAATGCGATCTATGAAAAATTAGAGATGGTTGGATACTTTTGCAGGTTACTGTAACTATCAATTCCAAGTTATTACTTTTTCTAACAGAACACCTATATCATTCGAATCATTAAATTACTAACTTCTTTCGTCTGTTAGCAATAATAGATAATCACATCACTTCGTGTTATTGTTATCATATTATCATTAAAAGTGCATTATTAAAATTTCCGTGAGTAATTATTATTCTCATATGCATATTATCATTATCATATGTTTGTATACATATCAAAGAAAGGGTAAAAAATATCATTGCGATTAATTTGCATGCTTACTTTTTTCTTATTTATACGCATCAACTATTTTTGTTTTTCTTAAATATTAATATATATAAAATATATTCAAATAAAAACCAAAAAATCATACCATAACTGTCTCTATTCAAGAATTGGTTTTAAAACCTCTTCTAAATGTTCAATAAACTTTTTTACTTTCTCTGTATCACCTTGATCCACAAAATTATAATAGTGATTCCTTGCTCTTTCGAATAACTCGTTCATTTTTAACTGATTATGTTTCTTGACTGTTTCGATTTCTAGCTGATGTGGTATTTCCACTAAACTGCGAGATTGGTACACCTCCAAACCACCTTCTTCAAAGGTTTCTTGAAAATCTCTC